GCTCTTATCGATATTGCTGTAATACGCGTTCCTTTAATGAAAGGGGAGGCGCCAAATGATTACATACTTTTGAGCGAGGCATAGTAACATTAAGTTTGGAAACCACTGGATTAGTCAATGTAATTCTAATAATTTCTTCTTTAATTGCATTGTTTTTTCTCAAAGTGAGCTCGTTTTTACAGCAATTTACAAGTTTCTTCTCTTCTATAGATGCAATGAATCAAACTAATTCAGCTAGGATGCTTTGGAAATATGAAATTGTTGACAGCGCGTCGAGAAGGGATGATTTGTCAGTTAGGGGTGGGTGTATGTTTTTCGGTTTTGCTGTTGATCGTTGCGTGAAGGATGCCGACGAATCCTTGCTACTGCTCGCCGATGAGGCACGCCGTCATCATGTCGATAATGACGGCGGTGGGTATATGCTACGCTCAACGAGTTGTCCTCAACATGGGAATCACCGAGATGATCAAGTTCAAAGACACGGAATCGCCTTGCCCTCTGCGCAACATCACCTACAGCAACACCTCGTTCTCGACGAGGCAAGTGGAGCCGACCGGAGACCAGAAGGATTGGGGCGAGTTCGGACAGGGCGTCCTGCTGTGCTCGTTCTACGCCGCCTGGACACTCTTCCAGTTCCTGCTGATCTTCGTCGCGAGACTCGGTGGTCGCTTCTCCATCCTCGTCGGAATGGCAATCACCTCGCTGGCGACCGGTCTGTTGCCGTTCGGCTCGATCTTCATGCCCATCGACTTCATGAATTGGGTTCTGCTGACGCTGCTGCGAGCCGCTGCCGGCATCGGACAAGCGATGGTGCAGCACGGCATCAATCGTCTGTTCATCAAATGGATCTGGCTGGAGGAGAAGAAGGTCACCGTGAGACTGATCAACTGCTCGAAGGTGGTGGGCATCTACTTCGCATCGATCACGACCGGTTGGCTCATCAAGGTCACCTCCAGTTGGCACATACCGTTCTTCGTGTTCGGAGCTGCGGGCATCCTCTGGATCCTCTTCGCGCTCTTCTACGTGTTCGCTGATCCGGAGAAGCATCCCATGATCCAGAGCTACGAACTGGAGGATCTGAAAGATAAGGTTGTTGCAGTCGAGGATAAGGGTAAGGGCGCCAAGGATTTGGCTATATTCGCGTTGGCGCTCGCCCAATTCGGAAACGAGTACGTCTTCCTCACGCTCTTCACCAATTACCCCAAGTTCCTGCAATCGTACATCAAGATGGATCTGATGGAGATCACGCAGATCGGATCTCTGCCCTACCTGATGTACTTTATGGGCTACTTCGTCTTCTCAATGATGTGCAACAATCTCTTCAGACGGAATCTGCGCGTCTCGTGCGTGTACAAGTTCTGCGTGTTCATCGGACTCGTCGTTCCCGCCGCCCTCCTACTCGTCCTCATCTTTCTGCAGTGTCACATCATAGGCGTGCTGATCGTCGTCTCGATCGCTCTGTTCTTGAACGGGGCCGCCGCTTACGCCATCGACGAGAACTGCCTCAGTCTCTCGCTGCACTTCTATCCCTTCATCGTGACGGTGTGCAACGCGTGCGGCGGTATAGCCGGCACCGTCACCCCCATGGTCATCGCGATCATCGCCAAAGATAACAGCGAAGGACAATGGACGTGGATCTTCTACTTCGTCATCATCGTCGCCTTCGCCATGGCCATCTGTTACGCCGTCATGGGATCAGCTCGTCGCGCCAAATGGGATTACAAGGACAACGAGGAGCAACCGGCCAAGACGAAAACCAAATGGTACCAGGAGAAACCACCGGAATGAAAATTATCACAACTATGGAAATCAGCAAAATCCTCACTAAAACAAAGTAAAATGTAAAATGTGCGCGTAAACATTAAAACTTTAAAATTACCTTTACCATATCTCGACTAAATTCAACTGAAGACAGGAAGGATTTCATAATAATCATATTTTTTTTTTTCTCACTCTTGATTTTATTAAAATAATATAATAATTATTTTGCAATCCCTAATTACTAATACTTAATATGAATAGAAAAATATCACCTGGGTCATCCTACTCCTACAACATAATCATCTTCTCACCATCCCCACAGCAATTCACGCGCCAGCACCAACAATAGTTTCTCAAAAAAAAAAAAACCAATTCCTTTTCCAACAAATTCACTGCAAAGCCAAGACGAACTAAACTAAACTAAAAAAAAACGAAATTGTAATACGGCTGAGGTATAGTAGATATCTTTGGATGCGATGGATTCACGTGGGGATGCGATCTCGCAGATAGGACAGCACGGATTCGGTGCCCTGCTCCAGAATCGCGTAACGCGGCAACTTGAAGCTGTTCCCCTTCAGCTCCAAACACCTAGCAGAATAGAATTAATCATAATAAAAAAAAAATTGTTCTAGAAATACGTTACCTCAGCTGCTTCACGTTGCCCAATTCAAACGGGACGCTATCAATGTTATTGTTGCTGAAATCCAAGGTGGCCAAACGTTTCAACCTCTTCAGACCGACGGCATCGATCTTGGCTATCTGGTTGTCGGAGACGAGCAGGATTTCCAAGTTCTCCAGCTCGTAAACGCAGCTCGGAATCGCGGTGAAACTTCACGCAACAATTATTATTATATATCGCTTGAACGTAATGATCAACTTACAAGTTGTAGGAGAGGACGAGTTCGCGCAGGTATCTCAGCTGACCCAAGGTTGCTGGCAGATCGGAAAAGTTGTTTTTTCCGAGATCCAAGTACTGAAGCCTCGAAAAGGATCCGACGAACTCGGGCAGCTCCTTGATCCTGTTTATGCTCATGTTAAGCTCAGATATTTCAGCCGAAAGACAACTCAAACTGCGATACACACGTTAAAAATGAACAAATAAAACTTGGATTAATCTCAGTATACCCGTTGGGAACATCCGTCAATTTGTTCTTGGATATATCGACTATGTGCACTTCGGCTGCGGCCGCATCCTCGAACACGTTCTCGGGCACTTGCGTCAACTCCTTTTGCGTCAGATTCAAGGCCCGCGAATTCTTCATCATGTACCTTAACAACAATTTGAAACAATAAAAATGATTACGTTCAATCATCGATGAATCAAATCAATCAAATTTACTTATCGGGAAACACTCTGACTTCCTGATTGATCGCGTTTGTTCCGTTCACGTTCAACTTCTTCTCGTCTGCGATCATTTTATCGCGCAGATGTTTGAGCAACCTCAGCGTGCCACCTTTTATCAGATCCTGTCGGATCTGCTTGAACTTGTTCCCTTCGATCTGCAGATTCTGCAGATGCGACAGCAAACCCAACGAATTCGGCAGACTGAAACAAAAATAATTTGATTACAACTATAATCAGACCGATCCTAACATAATTAAATCGATACCATCATTATTCGCTTTTGAATCGGATAACAAGGATATTTTAAAGGAGCGTCGATTCTTACTCATACAACAATGAAAGGCCACCTTTTGTTCGTCGGTTCCATTGGTGTCGGGTTTACGGAATCGATCGAAACGGAAATATCTCACCTTGCGAGTTCGTTGTTCGTGAGATCCATGCGTATGATGTGTTGAAGCATAGCGATTTGATCCGGAAGAAACTCTATCTTGTTGTCCCTCAGATCCAGTATCTTCAGCAGCGACATGGACTCGCAGAAGTCCGCCTCGACGTCCTGCAAACACAAAGTCAATCATCCACGTCGAGAGGATGCGAGACACGAACCTTGATAAAGTTATTGCCAAAGTAGAGTTCTTGCAGATTCTCGCAACCCTCGAATCCCGGAAGCTCCTCGATGTCGTTGTGTTGGGCGTAGAGGACCTGCAGCTTCCGCAGTTCCCCCAGATTGGGCAGCCTCCGCAGATTGTTGTGGGTCACGTCCAGCTTGAGCAGCGCTGCAAACAATCGAGTTATCGAATTACGAAGACGTTCTGTTTGTTTCTTCTACTTCTACTCTTTCTATTTAGTTTTTGATTATTACCTCGGATGTTAGATATGTCCGTGGGCAGTTCGGTCAGTTGATTATGGGCGAGATTAAGGTCGGTTAATCGCACTAGATAGCCGATACCACTTGGTAATTGTGTTAATTGGTTGTGGGCGAGGTCCTGCATTGTACATTATGTTTATTTGTACGCTGTTTCTTTTGGTGCGTTTAAAAAGGTTAATGTTTAGTCTATATTTACCAGCGTCTGCAGCATCACCAGATCGACGAAGCCGACGTCGACGACGCTCAGCGAGTTATGCGAGAGGTTCAGCTGCTGCAGCTCGGTCAACCTGTAAAAGTCCATCGGCAGCGACTCGATCTTGTTATGGCTCAGGTTTAGTCTTGTTAGCTTTGTTAACGCCCCGATCTCCGACGGCAACTTCGACAAACAATTGTCTTGCAGCTATATACAAACGTGTTGCACAAAAACAACAACAACAAACAGCAGAAAAAAACAAAATTTAGAAAGAAAACGTGCCTAATTAACAACAGCGAGAGAGAAAAAGAAAGCGATAACTATTCAATTGTCTGCCGTGCGACCGTTTTACAAGAAATCCTCTCCCCGAACGCAAACCAATTTATCGTAGTTAAATTAATTAATCGTCACGGGAATACTATAATACTTCCACTAATGAAACGATTAAATGTCTTAATCAAATTGAATAGTTATAGTAATTAAAAGTATGAAATATCGAAAGCGAAAAATAGATAATCGTGAGGCGATGACGCTGTTTGAATCTCAAAGTCTTAAGCTATTGAATGACTTACGTTGAGGACCGTCAGATCTTCGAACATCTTGATTTCCGGCGGAATGTCGACGAGCACGTTGGAGCTGATGTCCATGTAGGTCAAGGGTTGAAAAGTCCACCAGGGATCGTCGGTTCCCTTCGACATGTCGAAATGCTTGACCGACTCCGAACCGCCCGTCTCGTACATCTTGAACATTCCCTTTGGAACTGAAACATTTCGAATTGGATTTCACTATTTTATAAATAGTATTTGTAAGTTTGAAATGTATATATATATTTAGAGAATAATGTAATAGAAATGTTGAAATGAAAGTGAATTGGTAACATAATAATGTTTGTCTGTTTTGGCATTGAAACAGAATTGAAGGAGACAAAGTGGATGTGAAATCCTCGTCGCTCGGTCAAGTACGCAAAAAAAAGCAATTCATAAGCGTAAAGAATGCACCGATCTCGACTGTGTCACGATTATAAATACGGGTAGACGACGAAAAATGTCAGAGAAACGGGTCCACAGAAGAGCGAAACTTCCAAAATTTGCATAACGATTCATCACCAATTAATTAAATGACGCAACCCGCAATTCTCAATGAAATTAAAAGAACAATAACAATTATGTACAGAACGAATGTAGATAGAGAATTGGATTGTGCTTACACAATTTATAGCGATAATCAGTTTCTATTTGGTTTTAGTTAAAATCGGTTTGGTTTAAATGCGTTATTTGATGATGATGTGAGATAATTTCTATTAAAATCGATATTTGTTTGAATGAGGAGAATGTGCGAAAAGTTTGTTTAGAACGCGCAAAGGATGCAGAGTTGGCGGTGACTCAAAGGACGCGGATGGAAACAAACGTGTTGCCATGACTACGACGATGATGTTGATGCAGGTGTGAACAGCGGACGGAGATGATGTGATTGTATGTATTTAAAAAATAGAGTTCAGTCGTAGTCGTCTTCGGTTTTCGCTTTCGTTCGTACCTGAGGCTAAGCCGCGACCGGAGAGGTTCAGCTGTCCAGTCTTCCGCACGACTTTGATCATCCCCGTCGTCAGCTGACCGTCATCCTCCTGCTTCGTCTGCAAGTGGAAGACGGGATTGATCAGCTTCCTGCGCGCCTTCACCTGACTCTGCTTCGCCATAATAATTGATGCTTCCCGCTCGACGTCTCAGATCAATATGAAGCAGCAGCAGCAGAGATGATGATGACTACATCAACAATAACACACACATCGGTGGTGATTCCTCCTTCCCCCACTACCACCACCACCAACACATGGAAACGTCAAGGACGATATGGACCACGAAAAGGATATGATCGTAGCAGGCGTACAAACCGCAGGAAACCTAAAACAGGACAACAGGATGAATCATCAGGACAATACAATAAACTAGTTACGAAACGAATCGCGCAACGCGTTTTAAAAATAACACCACCGCAATAATAACTCATTTCGATTGGTCGCGCACGAAGACTTTCAACGTTCGAATTATTTAAATTTACCGTTCGTCTGGTTGCCTGTAACTTATGTAACTGGATACCCAAATTACGCGCCAAATCGGCAATTGTACAAGCAGCAACGTCAAACGATGTTCATTACTATTGGTTTTCGTGACGCGGTGATGTTGGTTGTATAACATTCATTCGTGTGTTTTTTTTTGTATCGCGTCTTGTGACATTGATATAGTCAGCAGCAGAATCAAAGCCCAGATGGAGGAGACAAGTGGCGTCGCCGAGGAGGAGGATGATGTCCTCGTCGTCCGGCCGGCTCAAAGCCAACACGACTGCGACGACAAGACCTCGATTGTGTCCATCGTCTGTCGGATCTGCTTCGACGACAACAAGGACGAGACCATCATTACGCCGTGCAAATGCAAAGTGAGTTTGCGTATTCTTCTCCGTTTCTTTCATTGCAATCGATTATGTACGCAGTCTACATGCACATCGCAAGTAACATATGTTTACGAGAAGTACTTTTTAATTCATGACAATTACTTGTGTTCGTGTTTATGGTGGACGCGCCGGGAGCAATAAACAAATTGCAAGGCATACGCGATTCAAACTACATCAATTTCAAAAAAAAATGATCCAAGTGCGTTTAGTGTGGATGATTGTTATTAATATATATGTATTTAGAGTGGATGAAGTAGACTAATGTTTTTTTTTTTAAAGAAAGGTTTGGTGGATGCGCCGGGTGTTGTCAAATGGGATTTTGTGGATGTGAATGGTAATAGAGATATGTTGTGTTTATTTTGTAAATGTTTATTGTGTTGTATATATAATAATATATAATAATAAATGTGTGGATGCGTATCGAAATACAGGTCAATTAGTAAATTGTATGTTAGTTACCTGTGGTAGTTTCTTAAGTTAATGATGATCACACTTGCGTTGCAGGGAACGGTGGCGTTCGTGCACAAGACGTGCTTGGAGAAGTGGCTCTCCGAGTCGAATTCGACGGCGTGCGAACTGTGCCACCACGTGTACGAGACGGAGAGGGTGCCCAAGTACACGGCGAAACAGTCCATCTGGAAATGGTTCAGACATCAGCCCACCAATTTCGGGGCGCGCGTCCGCGCCATCCGTTGCGATTTGATCGTGTGCGCCGTCCTCACGCCGTTCGCCATCGTCATCACCTACATTTGCCTCTTCTCCGCCGATTACTACAACCAGCAGCGATTCTCGAACATCCCGACCGCCCGTTGGACGTCCATCTCTCTGCTCATCATGATCGCCATCATGCTCTTCGGCTACTACATCTGGGTGTACGTGGTGGTCGGCTACCACGGCCGAATGTGGTACTACTGGTGGCAGAGGGAGTGCATCGTCCGTTACATACCACCCGTCCCAGATCAGCCGAACTATCCACCACCTCCTTCGCAGCAGCAGCAATCGTCGTCACCGCAGCACCAGCACCTGGAGGAGATCGTCGAGGATAACGGCGATTCGGTCATAGACCTCTCGATCTCGCGGTCACATTCGAGCACGAAGAACGCCGCCTCAGATGAAACCGTGCTTTGAAATTTGTTGAATTCCCCCCCCCACGTTGTATAATATAATATAATTTACTTCTTCCTCCCTTCCTCTTAGTTCTCTTCTCTATATAAATATGTTTTTTTTTTTGTATATGTACAGTGCATTTCCTTGGCGGCGTTCTCCAAAATTATTTTTGATAATACAGTCGCGCGTCAGTTTACGACGCCCTCCGTTTTATTGACACCTTCCCCCTGGCCAGATTCGTTATGTAAATCCGCACCTTCGAGTTGTCGCTCTTCTTCACGCATATCTATATAAGACACACAAAGAAAATAACAATCAAATTACCTCTTTGACGATTGATTAAAGCAGACGTACCGCATCGTTGGCGATCGCCGAGATGCTGGCTGGAAACTTGGCCATGTCTCTGCCCTCCACGAAGATCGACTGTCCTCGATGGTACCAACGTCGCTCGTACAGCAGCTTACCATCCTCCACCCTCGTCTCGACGACCGGAGGAGCATCGTTCACCGTCGAAGACACTTGCATCGATTGGTTCTGACTGCTACTATTCGAGTTCGCGTTGGCGACGATCTCAGGCACTGAAATCAAACTCTAATCAGTATAAGAATCGATTTCGCTCACACTTTGAATCAACGGAACCTACCGGGCTTCTTGTACGGCTGAGCGATCTTCTTCAGATCGCTCTCCACCTCCTTCTCCTCCAGCAGGTACGTGATCTGCGCCGCCGGCGGTTTCCGTCTCTTCTCCGGCACGGGCACCGGATCGTTCGGTCTCCGTCTCAGTTTCCTCGTCATCACCGGCTTCACCTCCATCGAATCCCCCGTCAACTCCATCGTGAACCTCTCCGCCTCGATCGTCTTCCTCTTGTCCTCGAAATCCGAGATCAAATTCTCCTTCAGCTCCACCTTCTTCTCCTCGTACTCCTTCACCGCCGCCTTCTTCTCTATGATGTAATCCCTCTCCACGCACTCCATCATGTACTCCCTGTAGATGTTGTTCAGGCGATTCCGCTCCTCGTACTGCTCGTTCAGTTTCTTCACCTTCCTGGTGTACTCGTAGTGCGTTCCATCCTCCAGCTGCTGCAGTTTCTTCTTCAGAGTTGCCAATTTGTCCTGGTACATTTGCTCCTTGATCTCCATGTGCTCCTCGTGTGGTCCAGTATCAGTCTCGCTGGCATCCTCAGTATCTAAAAAACAAACATTGAGGTTACGATTTATTGCACGCAAATCCAACAAGCGTTGAAATCTCAATTTAGAACAAAAAAAACAATTGATTGTAGTATAAACAAACGTACCTTCGTCGCTCTCGTTGTCGTGCTCGCGTTCCTTATCGTTATCATCGTCGTAGTGGTCGTCGTCCAAGTCGTAATCCTCTTGATGGAAAGTGTTGGAATAAGGAGAACCCACGTAAGACATTATACCTGCACGAAGATTTATCTGCACAGAATCGGAGGCGAAAATCTAGGAAAAGTGCACACACAACAAACGGAAAAATCTGCTGAAACAAACGGCTTCGGTGGTCGTGTGCGACATTACTGAAAGTGCAACCAACAGAATCAACGGAAAAAAACTATAAACTTTTGCAGCGCTGCCAACGGTAAGAAAAACCATCAACAACCTTAAATTTATAAAATTCAAAATTGTATTTAAAAAAATCGGCGTTGATGATCAATTAAAGAATGAAAGAGAATCATCGGAAATCAATTGATCGATGAGACTTTGTGATCGTAACATATCGATAATGATAGTTTCATTATTTTTATGTAATAAAAGTTAATAATCAAAGAACGCTTGCGTCGCGACGTTGGGCGTCTCTCTGTATTCGCGCTTCCACTTCCACACATCGCATTCCCACCGCACGAACAAAGAGCCGCCTATTATTTATAACGTTTGGAATTCCATTCGCATTGTTTATAGAAATCGAACGTGCCGAGCAAATTATTTTTAAACATTAGCAAAACCCGTTTCGGGGTCTAATCCTCAAGTCACGACGTGCCTCAACGTGCATCCATCCTCGTCTAACGCAAGTGCTTTTTCCTTTGGCGCCACCTTCTGAGCTTGGTTCGGACCAACCTTCTCCATCTCTTCATCCATCAACATCATCATTATTATTATTGTGATGTGTTGTGTTCGTGTGTGACGTTTCTAATTTTTTTCTTCTTCTCTGGTCTGTGCTTCATTGAAAACACGAAATTTTCGCGATTGTCGGTAATTCTTCAGCAGTGTATGAACGTTGCGTGTGGGAGGATTTTCCTTCGCTCTGCAGATGTAACATGTAAAGAAGTTTGGTGCAGAGGAAAGTTGAAGGGGTGTTGTTGTTGTGCAGAAGATTCAGGATGGATTCGGATCCGGAGGACGAGTTGGATCCCCGGATCCAAGTGGAGTTGGAAAACCTGAACAAGTCCACGGACGAGATCAACAAGCTGGAAATTGAGTTGGACGTAAGTTTGATTCTTAAATTGCATTGCAATTGTGATTATTTAATGCTGATCATTTTAGGAGGCCAACACTACATTCCGCATGTTACTGAATGAGGCGACGAGGAGGTTGAAGCTGTATTCTAAAAAGTTGGGCAGCTGCATAGAGAAAGCCAGACCTTACTATGAAGCCCTGGAGGTTGCAAGGAAAGCGCAGACTGAGTGTCAGAAAGCTGCTGTAGTGTTCAGACGAGCCAATGGTATTAACATTGATAATATGTGTTTTTTTCTTTTCTTCTAAAATTTTGTTGTTTATGCAGAGATACATGCAGCTGCGAAGGAGACTGTGGCACTTGCTGAGCAGAGGTTCATGAGCAATCAGCACGAGTGGCAATTTGACAATGCCTGGCAGGAGATGCTCAATCACGCCACAATGAAGGTGAGTTTGGATGGACGGGGGTGATGTAATTGCATGGGAATCCATCATTTGCATAACAATTGATTTAGTATTCAGTGCTTTCTATTTCGTTGTATAAAACGCGATTCACCTTCACCCATCCACAAGTAGATGTATTCTCGCTCCTAATCCGATCATCTGGATAATCCAATTTTCCGTTGTTCGCTCTATTATTTGTGAAAGTTCGCATTCATCTTCAATTCAAACTATTGATATTCAAATGATAACTTTTAAAAGACCTAGGAGAAATTTCAATACACATATTTCCATCATTTTTATTATAATTAATCGAAACTGGAGATTGTATTGTTAATCAGTTGATTATCTATTGTGCTGGAAGATTATTCCTTTATCAAAGATCGCAATTTAGATGACTTTGCAATTGAAAATCAAAAATGGCTTATAATAATAGACTTTGACCTCTGCTCTAAATTTGCATTTTTTCTACTTTAACGATTTTACATTGTTACATTCTACAATTGGAATTGCTATTGTTGTGCTATGACTACGTCGTTATCTTGAAATAATTCGTAAATGTTGTTTTTTCTTTCTTTGTAGGTGATGGATGCTGAAAACGAAAAGGCCGAAAGCGGTAGAGAGCATCAGAGAACAGCTACGCTCTTCAACGCAGCCGAGCATAAGGTGCAGGAGCTAGAGGATCGTCTTCGAAGGCACATCATCAAGTCAAGGCCGTACTTTGACGAGAAAGGTCTGTGTCAGGAGCAGCTGAATACGCAGAAGGATCGCATAGAATGGTTGAAATCGGAAATAAGCAAGTCGAAGACGTCGTACGCGCAGTCGCTGAAGAATCTCGAGCAGATCTCCAACGAGATCCACATGAAGCGGAACGGCTACAACGATCTGCTGGCGAAGCCTCGTGAACCTGGCGTAGGAGCGGAGCTAGCGGACGAGGATGGTGTATCTGTTGCGTCATCTTCAGCGACGAAGCACGGCCAGTTGCCGGACATCGAGCGCGAGTTGGACAAGTGCGAACTGAGGAGCATTGGTTCGTACAGCGGGACGACGAGCTCCGCGGTAAGCGAGAAGGACGACGCCGAGGAGATCGAGGAGTATTTGGACGAACTGAAGCTGAAGGTGAAGACGCTGGCAGTCAGACCAATCGACGGCGGTGAGGGCGAGAGCTCCGATCACGTGTGGGAGAGCGAGCTGAGGAGTACTGTCGATAAGCTGGACCATATGATGCTGTTGAAAGAGTGCGCCGACGACCTGAACCACTTCAAAATGGTCAACAACAATACGACTGAATCCAAGTGAGAACGACTCGATCGTCCATCGAGAGAATCAAAAAGTTCCACTGAATCAATTAGATCTTGCCTTAAGAATATATTCCGAGACGCGCATTTCAACATACCATCCACACTACCACTAACTAATTAACTGATTGAGTGAAGAGATGCGGGTCTGGTAACCGTTGTGAATCGATCGCTTTAATCCATTATTTCCTGAGAGAGAGAGAGATAATATTACGAGATAGTATTTTATTTAGTGTAGTTTAAGGAGGGAGAAGCAAGCAAGCAAGCCGTACAAATTCTATCCGCAACGTAGGTCTCTAGTCTGAAAAATCGTATTGTGTTTTATTTTGTAATTGATTATTTTATATATATATTTTTTTTCTTATAAATATCATCGTCATTATTTTCTGTAATAATAACAAATCCTCCACCTCCTGAATGGTGTTCGTTTTTCTTTTTTACGTTACGAAATGTTATCTGTTTCTATTATCATTTATTATTTTTTATATAAATATATAAATTATGATTGTATGATGATGTTGCAGTCGATTTGATGTTGAGCAGGAGAGGAAGGGAAGGACCGACCTTCCGCGCACCTCTTCATCATATTTTCACCGAGGAAACTGTTTTAGATGTGAACAATAAAAGTATTTATGATAATTACCATTATCGTCGACATGAACAAGTTAGTTTATTTGCTCTGTTTGTTTTTATTCATCAACGTTCTCAATATTACTTACTAACAACGGTAAGTGGCGTCCCCTTAACGATGAAAATAAAAGTGACGACGTCGTTGCTAGGAGATATTTTAATTGTGTATAAAATTATCTTAATTGCTATGGAAACAATGGATGGAGTGATGTTGGGATTTGGGCGAGAAGATTGATGTAATGAGAGAAAGCGTATATAAATAATTTATTTAATTAATTAAAACATAAATTGATTTATTTCGTATGTACAGATATATATGCTCCTCTTCTCGGCTCGATCTCGTTCGATCTCCTCCGCAGCTTCCGAGGAGGAGGAGGCAAAACAACAATAGTCTTGTTATCATTATTATTATTAATAATTATTATTATTATTATTATCGTACTCCTAAGTTATTCGCTGTTTTCGTCCATATCCTCTTCCTCATTCATCGGCAGGATAATTGTTTTATAATCGTTTTTTTTTTTATTTAATTCGCTTTTTGTTTTTTTTATGACGCACACACACTAAATACACACAAACATGTCCTCTAAGTACAAGAGATAGAGAGAGAGAGAGAGAAAGAACAATTGAAGATCGCAGAGCCGTCTTGATCCCTCTCGTCGCATCATCACTTTATATTAAGGCACTATGAGAATTCATCGCATCTCTTCTCTTTTTTTTTGTTTTGTTTCGTTTCTATCGTTACGCTACGTTACTGTTTTTTTTTGTTTGTTTACATCTTACACGTTATTTGAAATTAGCTGTTTTTAGTTTACGCAAGTGAAATAAGAAAAAATAATAATGAAAATACGTTTACATAAGTAGTAGTAATAATATATTGCTGATGAGAAGATCACTCGTTAATATTCCGCTCTCGTTAGTCCCGACTCCCGTGAATTAATGCAAATATAAAAAAAAAACGAAAACAAAATAATAAATTAAGATAAAAGAAAGAAAGAAAGAAATCGCAATTTTATGTCTTTAAATCGCGCGCGAGCGGGGGGGATTGGGAGAGGGGAGGTTATGAGTATTCTACATGTTTAAGTCGCTTAATTTCCGTTTCTTCTTTTTGGTGCTCATCATCAGAGTGCTGCGTCTCCGTTCTGATAGAATCCGTTGCGATTGAGGGGTTGCCTTTCCGGTGCGTCCGAATGACGATTCCTCTTGAAGAATCCAAACTGAAATCATCATCATCAAAATTAACATTGATTAACTCTTTTACAGGTAGATGTGTGTGGTGATGGTGCTTACTTTGTACAACAAGAATATGAGCAGCAGGAGGATGATGGTTCCGGCAACTGCGGAGAGGACGACGACCCAAAGAGGAACAATTTTCGGTTTGTCTGGTTCAGTGACTGGAACGGTCGTGAAGATCTCGTGACTGTGGATCTGTCTTTCTGCTGGTCGACCGATGTACTGCAGTTTGCTGATCCTCGCCAACATCATCGACGAGAAGCTGATCGGTTGCGACGTCGAAATCTGCACGGTAAACAAATATTTAGATAAACATTTACAGATGATTTACAGTTCGTTACGTTTTTCAAAGCTCTGACGTTGATCCTCGATCGGAGCGCGATGATTGCGTCCTGTTCGTTCAGCAGAGGTCCGACGACGCACCTCACCATCATGCACTTGGTGGACTTGCATTGCACCGCGTTTCGGATGTCGTCGTCGTCGGTCACCTGCCTCCTTCTGCGTCCGTGGAATCTGTTGTTGTAATCGGGTTTGTCCGTTGCAACGTTGTCCCGTTCAATCAAGCTGGCGGAGGCGTGGTATTGCGGCGGAACATCCCCGGTTCCCGATGAGGACCAATGAGTTTCGCTGCGAGACTCCCACTTGTTGCCGCCCTGCGATGATGCCGCTCCCTGATTGGACATTTGCACATTGCCGCCACTGCCGCCGCCGCCTCCGACCATTCCACCGCTGACGTCGAAGGTGGTCGTTCTGAAGCCGCCTGAGCCGAGTGCTGCAGCGCCCAAATCTAGACCACCACCTTCGTGATGGTGTTGTTGTTGACCTCCTTGACTCGATGACCATTGGTGATGGGTCCTGTTACTACTGCGAGCTAATGCTGCAGCTGCCGCTGCCCTGCGCGCCTCCTCCTCGTCGTAGGTGTTCTCATAAGATTCTCCGATGTACTCTTCGGATGAGTAGGGGATGTCATCGTTGTCCGTGTTGTATCTGGATTGGTAAGTGCCATGACCTCCTTGCTGTTGCTGATGATGGTAACCGCTCTCCGTTGTAGCCGTTCCGTAAGTTCTGCTCTGATTGTAGCTGCTTTCGAACCTGGAGCCTCCACCGCTGTGACCGCCTTCATTTCTGGAACCACCAGCACCTCCTTCCGACCAAGAATTGTACGATCCTTCAACTCTGGAACCACCTCCTCCTTCGGTTCTTGAAGCGTGAGATCCCTGAACTCTGGAACCACCTTGAGCATGACCACCTTCAGTCCTGGAAGTGTACGATCCTTCAACTCTGGAACCGCCCTGACTATAGACTCCTCCTCCTTCAGCCCTTGAACCGCCCTGACTATAGACTCCTCCTCCTTCAGCCCTGGAACCGCCCTGACTATAGACTCCTCCTTCAGTCCTCGAACCGTGAGTAGATCCTCCTTCCGTTCTAGAAGTGTAAGATCCTTCCACCCTAGAACCCTGTCCACCTTCCGTTCTAGATGCGTAAGATCCATCAACTCTTCCTCCCTCCGCTCTAGAATTAGAACCTGACTCGGACTCGTAGGTGCTTCCTCCACCTTGCTGCTGATTGTAATTTGTCTGCGATCCTCTGTTCCAATCGAAATGCTTGTTAACTGTCTGCGGTTTGTTTCCAGGGTATTCTCCACTTTGGTAAATCGTCTTTCCGCCCTCCTCGTGGTTAAAAGTCTGTCCAGATCTGCGACCCTCCGGACCTGTCATAGAGTGATCTTGATTGGCACCCGAATCCGACGATGAAGAAGTCATCGTGATGAAACTGTTGCCTTGCTGATTTCCGTGCTGTTTACCTGTCGACGTGTAGATGATCTGAGGTTTTGAACCGCCCGAAAAACTGCCTTCACTGCCTCCGCCACTGACAAAACTACCACCACCACTTGAAGACGATGACGAAGATGTTACCGCACCTCCGTGCTTGTCGCCCGAAGAACTTTCGTGGTAGTGCACCTTACCATCAGGTCCGATGTACCTGGTGGTGTTTTTGCTGTAGACGTGGGTGACCGTCGTCGGACCACCACCACTTCCAGAAGAATTCCAACTGCTCGAATGCGTTTCCACTCTGACCCTGGATCCATCTTCGCCGACGTGAACCAAAGTGCCCGAACCGGAACTGCTGCTGCTGCTGCCGCCGCCGCCGCCAGTTTGCTGCTGCTTCCTCCTCTGCTGATGTATCAGAGAACCGTCTCCGCTATCCACCGTCTCCTTAGTCATGTGGACCTTCTCGGAACCGCCGACCGCTCCTCTCGTGCCTTCACCTTCCTCAATAATGATCCCACCGATTTGTCCGGCCGCACTGGCGAAATCCGCTTTGGCCGTATCGATGCCAATCGTTTCCCAAATGGTTTTCTTCCTGTAATCGAGTTCGTAATCGCGGTAATTCGCGTCGACCGCCTCGCACTTGACGTTGCCCAAAGTGTGCGGTTGTTCGAGCAGATAGAGCAAATCTTCACCACCCAACGTGGCGTACGGCAACAGGAACAGCATCTCCGCTTCGGTGATGTCCGAAGGTCCGTTGTTCTTGATGCTGTACACGTGGATGACCTGAGGACCAATGTCGCTCTCCTTCTTGATCTCCTCGGAAGATGCATACTGCGATGCATTGTAATGGATGTCCGACGGTCTCGACGTTCCTCCGAGCTCCAATTTCGAGTTGACCCAGATCGGTATGTGAATCTTCTTTTGGTTATCGGAAACGGTCAGTGGATCCTCGGGATTCGTGCTGTTCACGGCCATCGAAAACTCGTAGATCGAACTCATACCTTCCTTGTGATTAGGCGTCACCTGAATCGTGAATCTCGCCTTGATCGAAGCAACAAGCAACAGATTAATCATCTTTCTTTATTTCAGACAAAGTCAAGACTTACTATTTTTCCGGCTGGAAGAGGATTACCGATGTCGCATCTGATCGTGTTGTTCTCCATCGGGGAACAGAGGAACCTCACCTCGTTCTTATCGTATTGAATGATTTTGTTGAAATCCACACCCGCCGGCATACTCAAATCGAACGTCGACTCGAAACTGTCTTCACCCTCGTTCTGTACGATTATATCGAACTGCAGTTTCTCGTTGGATTTGAGCAGGTACTTTTCGACGCTCCTATTTTGAAAAAAAGATGATTAAGTTTAAGAATTGCAACAATTTCATTTCATAACTCACGAATTGGCGATGAGCCTCAGATCGGGAATGCAGACGTTATCGCGGCCGCAGTTCTTGTGAATGCTGATGGAATCTTTACGAACTGGCGGTACGTTGAGATCGAGAATGGGAAGGAGCACGGATTTGGGGTCTCTGCGTTGGAAGCTCTGCTGGAAGTGGCGGGATTCTTTCATCGAGTACCGGATTTCCGCTTCCAGCGGTGTCAACTTATCCTTGATATCGTTCTGCAGATTTATGGAAGTGATGTAAATATTCTTTGATTCATTAACACATTGACGACGGCATGACCCACCGGTGGGTCATTAATTATAAATAATAGTTTTGTTGCTATGTACGCCACTGATTTTGACTTAAGTCAATTACAAACTTCAAACGCCAATACATTTCTTATACATATTTTAATAATTCTTGAAGCAATTTAGAACAATACGTGATATTGTGACATAATTTAGGCATACTTTGCAAATTAACTTGTGAAACATATTTGAAATTTTCATTCAATACTACTTGCCGCTTCTCAGCCTACAATTCATCTAGTCAGTAATCGAAGCGCAAAGACATTGAAAATACAATATGATTATCAGAAGCAGATATTATTTCTGTTTCTAAAAAAAACATTGCTAATTTATTCAAATACAATACAAGCTCAATTATTATTATTGCTTATTATAAAACCTATAGCACTTTTTCCGCGTTTCAATAAAATTCGAACCCTCTGTAGGATTCGAACAGGATTCGAACAGGATTCGAATAGGATCATTCAATAATAGAAATGTTTATTTATTTTTATGAACATCTTCAAAACATTACATTATTACATTATGTTACAACTTTATGAAAATTTCAATATTTTTCCCACAATTGTTATAAATTGCTTCAATATCATTAAAAAAATGTATAAG